TTTGGGCAATCATTGATTATGCAATACATAAAAGTTCCATTGTTCATTTATGCTGATTTTTTATTACGGCAGTGTAAGTGTATGCCATGCTTTGAAGAAAATTATTGTTTCAGATTATTTGAATTCTAAATGTAAATCTGGAGAACAAGCTTTTAAATATTTAAAATCTAAACAACTTTTCCTTCAAACATCCTCTCCAGTATCTTAAGTTCATTTTAAGAAACTGGCTTTTAAAGTGAAACAATACCTTACTTTACAGGATTGTTTATTAGTGTGTCCACCCCTCACAAATCGTTGAAAGAGGAGATTGGCTATGTTGTATTCAACAAACTGAATTTTTGTAGACCTCATTTGTAAAACCAAAATAAAATATTTCAAATACAGAAAGCTAAATTTATCTTTTTGAAATGTCAGAATGACACTGGTTGGTTTATGAGTCTCTATAGCCTTAATTATCTTCTGGATTTGAGAATTTTCACTATGAAGATATACTGACATTTAAAATGTTTAATTTATGTTTTGAGAGTTAGGCAAAGCATTTTTTTAATAAACAAATTTTTTTGGTAAAACAGCAATAAATGCATGTGCATATTGAGCAGGTGCAGTTTTTGTATATTTTGATAAAATATACATAATTTAAAATTTGATCCCAAAGATAAATCTTGATAATATGCAAAATACACACATAATGAAAGATTCAAAATTAAGACAAAAATTGCATTGAAATATTTTGGTGCATTTGATCATGGAAATAATTACCATAAATCTTTTTTTTTAATTGGAGTCTGATAGCTCGGCTTCTCAAATACGCTTAAGTCGCCTATCAATAGGCGATTTAACTTCACTAGATTAAATATCCTGCTTAACGGTAAATTCAACTCAGATTTGAAGGACACATGATTACGTTATGTAGGCCTAGCCTAGGTATCTAAGCCGCTGTTGCCATACTATCGTTACCATCATCCTCCGGGCTGGAAACAACATACTCAAGCAATGCTAACGAAGCGGCAAAGTAGTCTCATAATAAAACTGGTTTTCCAGACATTATTTCTAATAATATGAGTAAAAGCCTAGTAAAATGTCCGTTTTACAAATTTCAGTTTGGTTTTCCCACAATTTCTGTTTAGTGACGTTGACGGCCTTGAAGCTGGCAGGCTGCTTTATCTGGCTCTAACTTGGCATCAAACTTAGCAATGTTTAATTTATTTTTAAGTGGTTTCTCTCCAAGAGGCTGGTAAAGATTAACAGAAACCCTGTGATATTTACCGAGAAAAATGCTTTCACACACTGCGATCCTTGTGACAAATTGATGGTTAAAGATTACATTTGACAAAATGTTGTAAATGCAAATTGGGTATTAAATACATAATATTTGAACTATTTTGCTTGTGGCTATGTTTTCATTTTGTGAACATATGAAATTACACTCTTAAATTAATTTCAGAAATGACAAGTAAATTATTGATTGATTTAATTGATTCATAAGTTAATGTTATAATTGTGCCACTAGCAACTCTGCTCCGTTTAAATTTGGTATCAGAATACTTTGTAAATATCACACGGAGCTGACCTTCATCTTTAATTGTTAATATAACTATTAAAACAATAATGTATATAGCTATATTAAGGTACATTATGTGGCCAATGGGAAACAATGCACTGTACCAGCATAATACAGATAAAGCGCAGAAAACCTTAACCTCAGTTAAATCCTATACCTGTTAAGCTATTACTGTAGTTACTGTATTATTATTTTTTGATATAATATTATTTTATGATAATATTATATCAAAAAATAATATTATATCAAAAAATAATAATACTGTATTATTATTTTTTGATATAATATTATTTTATGATATAAAATAATATTATCAAAAAATAAAAATACAGTATAATATTATTTTATGATAATGGTGTTTATGATAATCGTATTTTGCACAATATAAATGAATAACCTTTAACCTTTAAAGCTAGTGGAATACAAGTATTAATTATTATGACAATAGTCTACAAGGCTGTTCTCACAAGTAAACTCAAACTGCACTTTCTTTCTAAAGCCATATTTTTTTTTCTCTAAGTAGCAAACTTAAATCTTACTGAGCATTTCATGTGCCTATAATAATCCACACATAAATATTTCCCAAAATGTATCCATGAATAAACTGACAACATATGCACAAAATCTTAAGTATCACTTATATTTTATAAATTACCCTCTTGATGTATTAAGATAATGCTTGACATAGACATATTTTGTATGCTATTTCCCACAGTTTCTTATCACTGATCTTTTGTTCTATTAATACTGTATATTTAGATTGCTTATTTCGGCAGACTTGGACTTGCTTTGTACACCATTCTTGGTTGTTTTAGGACCGCCCCCATTATTTCAGTTGTATATTATAGTTGTTTCTTATCCCATTTGTACAGTCTCCGGATGAAGTCCACTGTGTGGACGAAAGCTAGAGAATAAATTATATATTGTTAGTCTCAAAAGTGCTGCTGTTTTTTACTTTATACTTAAGATAATGCTTTAATTTAATTGTAACTGTCTGGAGTTCTTTTGTTTAAAGTATTTCACTAGCCATTTTAATGTATATTTTATCTATATAGAACTAATGGGTTTTTTTTTGTTTGTTTTTTTTTCTTTAAAAAAATTTTAAGACTAGGAAATGTATTCACTGCCATTTCCATTGGACAAATAAAATTGAATCTGAATCTGAAACCATTTGCATTATATAAATCCAAAAATGGTTTTATCTTTCCATTGTAAATCTACCCTTTTTTTGGTCAAATTTAATGAAATATAAACATGGCTTTTGCGATTAGTTTAATGTAGAACATTAAACATTCAAGTCCATGAAATTGGTGAGTGTTAATAACAATAGTAATAATAATTTATTTATTGGATTCACTTTTGCATCAAATCAACTCAAATTTGCATTTATTTTCCATACAATATAGTAATACAGTAAATAAGAATGCAAATTGAAAAAAAATACATTGTATGGAAGGAGGCTACAGTAATTTATAGTAGAGCTTTAAGACGTAGCCACCTTTAACAAAACAGTTCGAAAAGTGACACACATCAGGCAATACCTGATGGTGCATCCCAAAAAAAAAAAATATATAAAAATTTAATCAGTTTAATGTACATTGAACATTAAACATTCAAGTCCATGAAATTTATGAGTGTTAATAACAATAATAATAATAATTTATTTATTGGATTCACTTTTGCATCTGTGGCACACATCAGGCAATACCTGCATCCAAAAAAAGAAAAAAAAAAAAAAAATTTAATCAAATTGAAAACAAAAGGAACAACAGAAACAAGGATGAATTAATTTGGGCGAGTCGAGTGGCCGAGCGGTAAGGCAGGGGCACCGCTAGCTACAGCCTTAACATCAACGCTGGTTCCAGCCGCTCCTCGCCCATGGTTCGGTTGGTAGAACCAAGTCTTCTCAGATATGGACTTAAAATGGAGGTCCATGATTCCTTTCTTCATTCAAGAGGTAATGAATTTGACCGAGCTTTAAAATTTAGGCTTGACACATGATAAGCCAGAAATTTAAAGCTTTTGTTGCTTTTTGGATAATAAAGGAATAATGGAGGATAGGATAGGATCAAAGTATTTTTGGTGTGAAGCATACAAAGGATATTCCACTAAGTCTGAATATTTCTTTACCAGTTGGGGATCTCCTGGTGATGTTTTCGACAATACTCCGGGAGATAATCCCTAATCTTTTCCATTCACACGTTTAGTGATGACCAACAGTTTAGCTCACTAAGCTAAGCTTCATTTGCAAATAGAAATATAATAAAACAGGACCATGATACTAATGTTCACTAATTTATATTTTCTTCATTAATTACATTTAAAGAAAAATTTTCAAAAACAACACAACAGATCGTATCTTCATCATAGACGAAGCCTATGTTTAATCGCGTATATTTGCTACTAACAGCCTCAACAAGACAAGTTTCGGCAGTGCTACTACCATTGTCAGTTATCGTATTGCACGCAGGCAATCATTAGTATAGAGGAATAAAAAATGCAATGTTTTGCATGCTAAGAATTTTGGAATAGTTTGGAGAATATTGTTGTTATTATTACTGTATTATTATAGTTATTGCCAGTTGTTGTTGTTATTTTTATTAATAATAATATTATTGTTTACAGCGTTTAATATGAACAACCTTGAGGCACAACTGCAGAAATGCTCAAACTAGTAATAAAAGTAAAAACGACAATAATAATCCAACAATAATATTTACAGTATTGGACATAGGTTAAAAAAGCAACCAAGTATTCATGAGTAACTATGCTAAATTTCCTTAACGACCACCATCTAGGCCTACACTTTGTTTCATGAAAGCAGAGTCGGACTTTAAAGCTATGAGTGGTACAGTGCTTTCCCTTAAAACGTCAAATACACTGGAGCAAACAAGGAGTTCAGTCTACTCCACTGGGGCCCTTCGAGACCCCTTTCTTCCATGGTAGTTCAGGTTGAAGATGCCTTAGCTAAGGGCTTTGGCCAAAGATGATAAATAGAAGAAGATAGAGCAGCTTTGCGAAATGCATTGTGGGAGGACAGAGAGCTATTTTACCTCGTCCGTGCCGCAGCATTATAGCTTTATAATAAAGGCTCTGCTCAGGTTCGTTTGTTTCCTGTAGTTTCTCCACTATGTCAAATGGTCAAATTTACCCCGCTCGTTTCATCAATTTTCATGCGAGTACAAGGAGAGCTCATTTTTCTGCCGTTCAAGTTCTTTGCTTCAGCTCTCTTCGTTATGCCCCTGCACAAATAATAACACTATAAGGAAAGATAGAAAATATTGTTAGATTATCACTTCTGTTCACAGTGCAATAACAAAATTAGACATGTAAGTTGAAGTACAAGATGGTATTTATCTTGAAACAAATGATTTTGACCGAGAAAGAACCAGATCCTTATCTTGTAAATTGTTAATTGTTCGATATTTTTATTTTGTAGAATACTTTGTTGCCCAGCCTCTACCATCAGCTGGTGTGATACCTGTCCTCCAACAATTCTGTCCTCGTACCCACAGAGACAACTTTGGTTTTCCAAATTATCCAAATGCTCAGTAAGTTCAGTAAAAACTTAAATTGATAATATTAAAATAATATAATAAATTTTAAAAGTCAATATAAATTTTTTATATTATTATAAAAAATTTTGCCGCAGCGGTTCAGGTTTGGGCTTTCCAATCGTAAGGTCGGGGTTTCGAGTCTCCGCTGTGCAGATTTGCTTGTATCCTTGGGCAAGGCACTTTAGCTACATTGCTTCAGTCCACCCAGCTTTATCAATGGGTACCAGCAAACTGCTGGGACTAGCCTGCGACGGACTAGTGTCCCATCCAGGGGGAGTACAACTCTTATCCACTTCACACTACAGAAACTGGAGATAAGCTCCAGTCCTATGAGCCCCAGTGGCTCGGAAAGGATTTAGTTTATTATTACTATACATCATTTGCCATACTAATGATATTATATATAATATGATTACACATGTTTTAACCATTTGTATACGTATGTATATTTTCGTCATTGTCAGGGTGCGACCTTTTCTAGAAGAGCTTTACCAGGTCATCCAGGACAATGACCTTTATCCTCAAGATTTTCCCATCTCTGATTTGGAGAAAATGCCAGATGCATTGCACGAACTGCTTGCAGATTACAATACAATCGAGAATCAATTTTCAAATTCACAAGGTACAGTAATCTTCGCACAAATTTGTGTACTCTTTGGACTGAGACAGCGGTGGTGCCAGTGAGGGGCAGGGGGAAAATTCCTCTCATCGGATAAGCATAACCCCTACTTCTGTCGTCTGATACCACGACAAAGTCTTCAAATGGGAATACTCATTATTCTATCCAAACAAATTGTGATTGCCTGTCGCACAAAAATTGGTCCGTAGCCAAAAAAGGGCCTAAAATGAAACAAAAGACTGATTTATTAGTTCTAAATATTCCAAATTATTGTGTGCGGTATTAGGTCATACAATAGTTGTTCTATTACGTAAAAATAAAAGGGTCACTCATTTCTTTGAAATGATTGCTCATGTATTTCATCACGGTGTTAAGCAAGCACACAACCAAAACAAAACAAGGTAAAAAAAATTAAAGTGGACCAACACGATTTACGATCATATCGTTTAACTTCTTTTTTAACTTTTACACCAAAGAGTTTACTGGGTGCGAAGAGCGAAAATACATAATAATTTTTGTGGCTGTACAGTATACTCAATTGCGCACACAACGAATGAAAAAATATTATATAATAAGAGATGAGATGTTTATCTATCATTGGATTAAAATCAAATATGAACAATGCTAAAAAATACAGGTTATAACTACTAAATAGATGCTGGACTGATTTTGGCTTATGTGGACTACATTTGGCAGGACCAAAATTTACCCTTTAAATTGTGGTCTACTAGCAAAATTTTGGGCCATATCCTAAACCATTAAATCTTTTCCCATGAACCTCACCAGGGATTTTATTCTAGATTTGTGACTGCGGCTCTTGACGGTCCTTTGAGTCAGACCAAACACTTGAAATCACCACTAGGCTGAGCGTTGAAATGACTGTTATTTTCCAGCCTTCCCCATAAATGCTGATTTAGATGTTTCACTTTTGATTTCTATAGTAGTGATATTACTTAAATCTTTGTATCCATAAAATTGCTACACTGTCACTACAGCGTTTTCATGGCAAGTGTTACACTGTATAGCTTTCCTCGAGGCTCCTTGTTTCGTCTGAACAGTAAGCCTTGCCGAAAGGTATTGTTGACATTATTTAGCCATTTGATTGAAACTAGGTTTTAGTTTAAACCACAAAAATCAGCTAAGGGCCTATTAAATATAAATAAAAGACTAATAAACAAATACATGATGTGGTACATGGCCTGCATTTTAAAGTCTGATTTTTAGCAGGTTAAATATTTTAATGGCTACAGTAGGCCTTGAATGTAAAATGATTATATTATGCCAATTTTTTCAATATAACAAAAACACTGCAACTCTGAAAAGAGACGGAGACATTTTGAGATCAAACGTTTCAAACTATTTGATCATTTTCAAGAATACTGATAAGAAAATCTTGCCCATCCATACATATTTACATTATTTACAGAAGTATAACAGGAATTAATTAAAAACTGACCAATTAAAACTGGCCAATTAAATTAAGGTAATTGAATAAAAAAGAGGTGTGTCTTACATTAAGTAGATCACTTATTTTCATCAATAACTAAACAATGAATAAACAAAAATTGTATAGAAGCCCGGGAATGCTAACTGAATAAAAGTCTCATGAAAGAAAATAAACAATAAGATAATACAGTGAAATATACATATAACACTAGAAAATGCTTACAAGATAAGTAAAGGAGATATAAATAAAAAGTAAATATTGAATGCTCTTTTGATGCACTCAACCCTGTGTTTAATACAGGATTGAAATGCCTAATGGCCAAAGCCTCCATAAATAAAATTTGTGACCAGTGTATATCCAAAAGATGTCTCCTTACATTATGATGTGAGAAGTGAAAGTGAACCATGTTGTACACATTGAGAAATGAAATATCTTTATCTTAAATTTATAACCATACCATTTCAACTGGTATCTAATTACATCTATTGTAAAAAGCAGTCAGCTCATCTGAACACTTATAATTAATACAATTATGTATGTCAACCATTTGTTATGAACTTCATTGTATTTATTTGCTGAACATGATGAAAAGACTAGCGGGTTACATAAATAGTACTGCCTAGTTAAAATATCTTTAGTAAGAGATGTATTTGGCCTTCTGCAAACATGACCTGTATATCGGATATACTGACTGTATTATATACCTCAATGGAGATGGAAATTCTAAATTAATAAACATTTATTCTCAAATTCAGTAGATTTTGTATTTCATGTGAATTTTCAGTAATATTTGTATTTCTTTTTAATTTTATACATGGTAAAAACTGTACACATTAAATTAGTACTAAACATCCTATAAGAATAGTAGAAATCTTTTTCAAACAAAACTTACTGACAGATGGTCATTAAGGTGAGTATATTGTATATTATGGTACAGTATATTGTACAAAACTGTTACTTTTAAACTACAGTACTAAATATGAGAATACAAGAAATAAAAAAAAAAAAACAACCAAAACACAGCTTATTCCCACCATTGAAATTAATCTTTTTTTCAGCTAAGGAAAATTTTGAAGTTACTTTTAAAATGTTTGAACGTCAGTGTCGCTTTAAAGAACAATGATTTTTTACTTTATTTTATGTTTTCAGACTTAGTTGTCATTTCCATTTTAAATGACCCAGCTGCATTTGAGGACTACCTTGTTCGAAATCTGAGTATACCTGAAGATGAGGCTGATCAAATTATCCACTCAGAGATTAACACTCAAGAGGTATGAAAATTAAAAACACTTGTTTTTTTAGTGATCTCCAGGGCTGCTGTTACTATATTTTTACTACTCCATAATCCTGCTACTGCTTTTGTTTTTACTTTTGTTTTTTCAATAGTTTACTCTACTGCGACAGCCTACTGCCACTACTAATACTCACTGCCATTTTCAATCAGTGTGTATAGGTTCATGGTTTAATTTCTGTGCTTTGTTTTGTTATTGGTATGGTAAACGACTCCATATAACGGAAGACTGTAATACAAACAGTCGAACAGTATGCCCTACTTCCTAAGGTGTTGAATGTATGGGACTAACTTCCACCATGAAGCGCACAGAGGCAGTCTCAATCATTGAACAACAAGCAGAGTATTATTCACTACTTCCCTTAAAATATTTTACCAATACCAACATTCATTCATGATTTAGAAAGATGTTCATTACTTTGTTTATTAAATATTTGGCTGTGACATATCAGACACAAAATTCATTTTGTATCTGCAATAAAGTTTATAATACCAACATTCGAAATTTAAATTTTTGTTTACATTGATTACTTTAACCCTTATTAACATCATGACCAAAATAGTCCAGATCGATAAGTTAATTTGCATTTATTGCTACAGCTGCCTTAATGCATTTTATTGAATTATGGTCACCAAACAGCATACTGAAATTCATAAAAATACTGTATTACTATCACACAGCACAAGATATATTGAAATTTAAGACAAGGAATTCTTGTTAAAATTAAATTTTTTTTTTCTATTTTTATAGATTTTTCGCTTGCTATATGGCAATCCACCTAGGCCTATCAATGACAGTCCTTCCAAATTCTATAACTACACTGATTTCCAGATGGACTTGAACCATCGACTGTCTGGGATCGATAATGGCATGGTTTATCGGCCGTATTCCAATAAAGATATTTTCACTCCAGATGGAATTGCTGATGTTCTATCATGGACCGGAGGACTGACTAGAACGCAAGCATCTATTAAAGCGATGGTGGCTGACGATTCAAATACAACCACACCTCTGAATGCTACAGAATTAGTCGAAGACTTTAAGGTGAGTTAATTCCCACTCATCACTATCATTTTTTAACATATTTCCACGCATTAAACAACTGATGGACGAAGCCGAAGAGTATAGAATCGGAAGAGGTCCGAATGCCCTGATTTTGTATGCATTCAATTCAATCTTTAAAAAAGTACTCCCATGAGATAGGGTGACCCTATTAGAATTCGAGTAGAGTTTGTTTGAACTTGTAAAAACACACCCCTTTTTGGCAGTACGTTTTGAAATAAGATTACATTCAAATGAAACCACGAGAGTCAGACCTCTTGTAGTTCTATACCTTTTGATGAAGTTCATGATGTTTACACTCGCACTTACAGTTTCATGGATATATCTAAAGTCTATTATAAGTCAATCGTCATCACTGCAACTCCCAATGTTATTTACCTATCCCTCACAGTCCAATAATTTTTCAATTAGTGGATGCTTGGCTTGATTTTTTTTAGGTTTTTGTGCAAAAAAAAAATTCCTCATTTTTTCGTCAACGCAAAGACATTGCGGAAAATTATTATATTTACGTTAGATTTAATGCATTCAAAAATTTTCTTCAGGCCTTACATTAAATCTAGCCTTCATATAATAATTTTCTTGTAGTGTACTATGCTGAGCTCTACTAATTGCTTATTGTTGGCCTCTCTGAAGAAATCTGTTTTGGACCATGAGTTATCAAGCTGAGTTTTAAACTGATTTGTTAAGTAAGAATTTATATGTGCTGCCAGATTATTCCAATTTTTAATCACTTTCTGGGAGACAAGGCACTGTTGACTATTGAGTCCTTAGTTGAGTGCTGAGTTGTAGATCCTTTTATTGTGACCATGTTTATTTTACGTTCGTGCTTGGTTAAAGAAGGTCTCCCATTGGATATTCTCAGTGCCTTCCATAATATTAAAGATATTGATTAGATATCCTCTGGTACTTTGTTGTTGAGGTTATAGAATATATGTTTTGATCAAGTCTTCTTTTCTATGGCCATTTCTTGATCTCAGAACAGATGGCCCTTAGGGCCTCACTAAAGCCTCATTAAAATGTAATGACAGGTGCGATAACAACCCAAAAATAAAATTATGTTTTTACTCCAAATTATCATTATTGAGGAATGAGTGGAGAAACAAGATATAAAGTCGTCATGCCTTCTCAATTGATATGAATGTTATCAACTTAAAACAGTGTTCTTTAGACCATTCTAATCTTGTTATCTGAACTCACAAAATATGTGATGATGTGAAACCCTAGACTGAGATTACACAGACTAGAGATGGCCATCAGGCAATATTTTATTAGAATTGTTACTTCATGTTTTGATTAAGTCATATGTTGTATTTGCATATGACAACGTAGTTAACTAGTGTGATGACTTTATGAGGTATTGAATGTTGTGTTATCACAATAGATTGAAATTGATTTCTATCTCAATTTAGTGACAATTTATATTTGACAAGCCAAACACTCGTCGCAAATCCTGTTTTAGAAATAATGGCTAGAACATGCTGAAACATTTTGGAAATCTATTATGTTACACTAAAATATCCTTTTTATAGATCTATATATCATGCTGTGCTGGTATTTTCCTCAATTTGAATGTTAAAATAACAATTTTTAACAATTTGGTGATGCTTTCTGTGTGAGAAATGCCCAAAATCATAAACTTTGTAAAACTGATTTCTCAAATATAGTTCTTAAAACAGCTGTATGTTTAAACTTCAGCAACCTCATAACGAAATGTCAGATTTAAATGATTCTTTTAGCATTTTATAGCTCTCATTTTACAGTTAACCATGTGCTAATAACTCAAAATCGATTTTTGCGATGAGTGACTGGTCTGGCTTGTCTTTTCCACATATTGTACATGTAAATTACGCGATAGAGGTAAAACATTAACACATTTTTCACAAGTGTTATTAAAACATGTATGAAAATGCATAAGACAACAATGCAACGATGTATGAGGTACTAGCGCTGAGCGTGGGGATGGAAGGGATAGTGCCTAGACATGGTTCAGCCCATGAAAAACAAAGTGCATTTTTCACAAGTTATAATGTCTGTAATTTTTTGAATGAACCATCTAAATATATAAAATGCGGTAACTTGTGAGCCTTCCTCTTAAAGGCCCTACCCTCAGACCCTTGCTGGGGGATTTTGCTAGTTTCAATAATACTACCATTGAGATTCTGGCAGATTTGTTGCCCGGGAGCGGCCCTGATATGATGACTTGCTGCGGTAATTCGATTTTGAATATTAAGTGAAATTTTTTTAATCCAATTTAGAGACTATTTATATTGCACTTGATGGTGGTTAAACATTAACACATTTTTGTCACTCATTAAAACATTTTTGCTGACTGCCATCTCCTGAATTACTTATTGGTTATGCTGCCATTGTCAATTTGTGTAGACAACATTGGAATTTGAATTTAAACAACTACACGTCTCTTGTTTGCTTCAAGTATTAGTATGTACACCAGTTACACAATTCTACGGTATCATATCCTGCATGTAAACAGTTGTTTTTTGTTGGTTGTCTGAGAAAAATCATGGTGTTTTACAAGATATGTAAGGCCAAGGTAAAAAAAAAAGGTAGTTTCTAGTCCTAATATTTTGAAAAAAGAAAAGTGCGGGCAGGAGATGGCAAATCCAAGAAGGTCGATGGTAAACAGCTACATCTTTCTTTCTTTTACCAAGTAGACATATTGAAAGCAAATAAAAGAAGCACTAGATATGATTCATACCATGTATCCCCAACCATGAACAATGAGAGAGGAATTGTACTTATGTGAGCTAGCTAGATTTTCATACATTTCCTAAAATATAGGAAATAAAAAAAAAAGGGAATAAAATTGGTGAGGCAAAGAAAAAGGATGCGTGAGGGAATGAGAAACTAGTAGTTTAATTTTATTTGGCCTAAAGGTAAGAACTTGGTATTGGAAAGAAAGAAAATTGACCACCAGGTACAAGTCCACTCCATTTGTACTTCTCATTATTACCTGGTAACACCCTTGGATTTTTTTCTGTTATTACATGTTTTTTCTCAAGGTATTGCATAATATGCAATGAATAATAATAGTAAATCACATGATAGTAACTTTAATATGGAGATACACCTCCACTGGTGGTAATTAAAGATAATATAAAATTTTTGAGAAAAAATGCATGTCCCAATCGGGATTGAAACCCTAGACCTTCCTATT